CGCGATCTGTCAAAAAAAAAAAAAAAAATTGATAAAATTACATCTACTTGGATAGCCCGTTGTTACCCTTCGACACCTTGGAAATGTTCTGTGAAAGATTTTTGATAAACCAAAATTCATTTGGTACTTAAAAAATATCAATAAATTTAGTAAATTGAAACCCACGAACAATGGCAACATTATTATTATAACATAAATTATTTATTTTCTGAAAATTGTAATTAACAAACAGAACTTGTTTTGTTTTTGTTTTCYAAATAATTTATTCTAATACTTTCAAAATAATTATTTGTGTGTGTCACTATTAGTTGACACCAGTTTCTTGAACCATGAAATCAGATAATTATTTTTTAATTAAAATTTAATTATAAATATGTTAAATAAACATATGTAATTTTATTTTTGATTACCCGATATATTGAAAATTTTTAAAATATTTATTTGTCACCTTTTAATTATGTATTTGCGATTCTCCAATCGATTTCTATTACTGATTAAATAACTCTAAAAAATTGTAAATGCTACTTACGGACTTTGCCGCTAATTAGATAAAGCTACCAGAAATAATCTCCTGACTAATCTAGGAAAATCTAAATAGCCAGCGTCACAGTTAGTGTGATACGAATTAGCTAAGCCGAGTATCTGCATAACTATCAGTGCCGCCATCTGGAAAAGTTTATAATTACAATAAAAACGCCATTATTGGTTACAAGGTACCAACAAMATTTTCATATAAATCGTTTTCAGCTTTCCAGCTTTCGAGTCTAATCCGTTGACGGCTAATTCGAGTTATTTACTTTTTGTATAAGCTGATTGCATTTTATTGACCARCGAGCTGCACAAAGGCAAACGCGCATCAGCAGAGTTCTTCCCGTTCCTAGCTAGTACTATATGTATGTATATGTGATATGTATGTGCACTGTGCCGCACTGTCTCGCCGTTTGTATTCAAAATAAATTAGTATCTTTTATCTTGTCACACATAAATCATTGTTGGCGGGACCAGAGTCATAAATATGTTGACATTCATTAAATTAAGCAGAGAGCGACTTTGAAAAGTATTTGTTAAAGCAATGGWGCATTTTATATTTTTTATAAAATTTAAAAATTGTTATATTGCTCATTCAACGCTTCTGTTGCACWTTTGATTTTATTAATTTTATTGATTTTTATTACACAAACAGGTGTAAAATGTCATTAAGAGTGTTGTCTTGCATCTAGCAGACCYAGAGGCCTTAGAAAAATAAGTAAACAGCGGCAGGTGTCTAATTCGAAGAGTTTTACAACCTATAATTTAGATGAATAAATTACGCATAATAATGCAGATGATATGCTGATTAGCCGGTTTAAGGGCGAGGAATTTCARTTTTATATGGCTGGACACTCACATATACCAATGCAGCGGAGAAATTTGATTTATTTTATGTGAACATGCCATAAAGCGCATGTAAAGCACACCTAATTGTTGTTGCTTTTCATTTTTGAACACAGAGCTATTTCAATTCATACATATGTATGTACGTATGTATATGTAAATACCGCAATTAAAGACCACAAGTCACATACAAATTACAACCGAAATTATGGCTATTCACAGTTAACGGTACAGAAAAAAAGGAGTGAAAATGGCTTACAAATTATGTGTAAATATTGGGCAGATGCGCCAAAGGCCACTTTGTCATTGTGTGGGTGCAATTAAAATTTGGTGCTGTTGTCGGTGAAACCGTTTAGATSGGCGCAACAGCATACATTTACATACGAAACAATTGAAGGCAAAAATCAAACAGACAATGGTAATCGATTTGCATAAATACCAGCAGACAAACACTTGTATATACATATGTACATACATGTATACATGTGTATATTACAAACTCTGTATCGCCATATCGTATGAAGCGGTAGCCTGTGCTGGCTGKCAGGCAGCTGGTATTCGTCGGTATATTACAAAAAAGCTCCAAATCGTTGTGTTCAAACTCATTTAAAAGCCATTTAACAAGTGGGATGCGCCTCAATTACTGCTGGAACAGATGCGCGTATATTTATTGAACCTGGACCGCCGACTGCGATGCAGCGGTGGAAAATGAAATAAATTTCAATACGTTGTACCATGCATGTTATTGTAAAAAACAACAAATTATAGCAAAGCAAGAAATGCAAACAGCGAATTGTTCAATAATATTTACAATGCTGTCAATAATTTGAAAATGTATTTCCAACTTTCAAACCTTGTTAACAAGGCTTTGCATTGTTACCCTTACCAGTCGTAAGGCCAGCAGGAAATCGAGTTTAGAGTTTTCATATTAGTAATGTATTAAATTAGTAAAAGTATTAAATTGTATTTGGGGTAACCGTTGGGGCCCAAGCTACAAACAGGGAGACCCCTCAAACTGCCCCAACTACCGTGGGATACGCATCGAGCGTATTATGTGAAAGATTAAAGCAAAGCGTCAACAATCTGATTGGAGCTTATCAGTGCGGCTGTGGACCTGGCAAATCAGCAACTGACCARATATTCGCCATGTGCCAAATCTTGGATAAAACTCGTCGATTTCAAAGCTGTTTTTGACAGCATGAAAAGGAGGTGTCTTTATGCCACGAGGTCTGAAATTTGTATTCCCGCAAAACTAATATGGATGCGTAAGCTGATGTTGAGCAACACCAAAAGCTCCGTCAGGATCGGGAAGGACCTCTCGGAGCCTTTCGATACCAAACGAGGTTTCAAACAAGGCGACTCTCTTTCGTGTGACTTCTTCAATCTACTTCTTGAGAAAATAATTCSAGCTGCAAAAACTAAACCAAGAAGTTACTAACATCTATAAGAGTATACAGCTGCTGGCGTATGCTGATGATATTGATATTGAAGCGAAGCAAATGGGTCTGGCGGTGAACGAGGGTCAGACGAAATATCTCTTGTCATCAAACAAACAGTCGTCGCACTCGCGACTAGGCACGCACGTCACTMTTGACAGTCATAACTTCGAAGTTGTAGATACTTTCGGCTATCTTGGAACCAGCATCCATACCAACAATCCAACGCATATTATCTCTTACCAAGAGGTGTTACTTCGACGTAAGTAGGCAATTGAGAAGTAAAGTCTTCTCTCGACGAACAAAAACAAAACACTATAAGTCACTCATTATTCCCACCCTTCAAACCATCTTAGCATTATTTTATTTATCAGATACACCACTTTKTTTGTATAAGAAACCCGTTTTTTCTCTATTTAAAAGTACCCAATCTGTACAAAACTTCAATTATCTATTTAGAAGAAATTTTAATACTTTAATGCATAAAATTTGTTATTTTAATATGGATTCTTGGTTAAATGTCACTGCGAGTATATATATATAGTAAAAAAAGATAATCCGTGTTAAGATCCTAGAGCCTGTGCCCATCAGCTAAGATGGCATGTGTGTAAAGTTAGGTCTACTCYAACCATGACACTTAACAGCGTCTTGCACGTAGATTTGGTCGAAGGTCTATGGCKGCAAAAGTTGCTCAAAGAATCTGGGTTCTTAAAAGAACACGTACCTTAAAACTTGGAAATCCTCACATGYTTTGATTTCATACCGGGTTGCTTGGATAATGGAGTCGCGACTCCTCCTACTCTGTCCATATACCGAGGATAAAGYTATGACTTGGAAGAAGYCGTTGGAGGAGAGGTGCAGTGAATTTCTTTACGGATGGATCAAAACTTGTGGGAAAGTWGRTGGAGARGTTTACTGCAAGGAGCTCTCTATAAACTTCAGCTTCAGACGTCCTAGCTATTGCAGTGTTTTCTAAGACGATGTTGCAGACATAAAAGTAGCAATAGATTTACAGCTGCGSAGTACAGCCTCCTTCAGAGAAGWCACSATCCACTCAGATAGCAGGACGGCTCTCTCTCAGGATTGGTCAAGGAGCGTCTAACATCGTTATCAATAGCATCGAGTCTCTATGTGATAAAAATCGCCATGTGCGGAATCGCAGGAGATTGTAAAGCTGATGAGCCAGTAAGGAAAGTCACCCTTGAACCGCTTGCAGCAGAATCGGAGCAGGTCYCTGCCCGTATTCTCTTGTGTTCTACTAAACGTTTAATCATAAGTCCGAACACAGAAGTTCTTCTCTTCTATGGCTCAAGGATCTCATATAGCAGTTCAGTTGCGAGCTCTCTAAATGAGCCATCCAATCTAATATAACCTTGCACAATAAAAAAATACATATGTATATGGCACTAAGGTAAAATAATGTTAACTAATAAAAATTGGAATGTTCCTCCTAGTTTATTCTTCTCAAAAAATTATTTAAATAATTTTTGTGTTTTACACCATTACTCTCTCAATATTGCCTTTATTTATGCCTTTCTCCCATTTCAATCCATTTRAACTACGAAAACAGACTTCAATATATAATATATGCGAACGTTTTTTTGTAAACTCAAGTGCCCCCTACAGTTCGCGCTGTGTTTAATGACATCTATTGTCTCTCTATGCTAATGACGTTTTAATTTCGGCGTAATTGTTGTGACACGCTGCCGCAGTCGGCATTATTTCTTTTGGCTTAATCGATTTCTGTTTAATTGCAATGAGCATAATTATTAGTGGTGTGGCAAGTTGAAATTTATTGTGGCACAAATTAGCGGTTGATTGTGGAACGGTATGCATTGGAATATTGAAAGAGAGSAAAGTGAAGAAAAATGTCAAGGCAAGTGCTAATTGCCAATGATATTGAGTTAATTAATGGTTTTACTCTTAAGTAAGTTTAAGGAAGAAYAAATGCGATGCAGTTTATATTACTCAATATATTAGTATAAAAGAATTTTCTATTAAAGAAAGCCCTTGGATTATCAAAGCGATAAAAAATGCTAGGAGAATTAGGCTTCTGGAACTAATTAGGCAATAAGAAGAATACATATACTAAATATCAAAATTTTTCAATTTAGTACTACATATTACCACATATAAGTGTAATATAAAAAACTAATCTAAATATTCTGTATTTTCTTGTTCTCTTTCCAGCTCCCTGAAAATGTATTAAAACCGAGCAATTAAACTCAAAACAGTGTTTACTAAAACTAATCGACGAGTGCAATCGACAGTGCAAAAAATTGTGCAAAGAGCATCTTATAGTTCGAAACAGCGAGAAGAATAAAAAACGCGTGCCACAATGGCGGCGCGTTGCTCTTCCGAGCTGCAGCAGCAGCGGGGGCATTCGCATAACAGAACAACACGCGATTTCGATACAATGTCCCGAATAAACCCGCGTATTTCGTCCACTCGCTCGAAAATTATCGTGTCGCATTTCTTCCATACGCCACCCTCATTGCCCCGCTTCTACATGTTGGCCATTATCATCAGCGCGCTGCTCATGCATATTTCCAATACGCAAGCGCATATGACCGCAACTGCCAACGGCGAAGGSATGTCGCATGCGGTTGGTATTTCAGCGGCAAATGCTGCGCGCATGTTAGCCGGCAGCGGTGGCACAACTGGCAGTGAGTACTCCCTTGTACTGCCACATGATACCTATCCCGGTTTTAGTATTAAGCGATTCAAGACAATGCCAGTGAACGATAYGAACTCAACGCTGGAAAAAACTTCCTCGTCGGCATCGACATCTGTTGGCGCTTATCATATGCTTGCCGGTGATTACTCCAAATATTTTACAGTACTCGACGATGGTGTGGTTATGACTACATCCGACATCTCCCCACTTGTTAATCGCCCGGTGAATCTCGTKGTGGTCGAGGAGACACCTAACGCCACCAATACACACAATTTACAGTTGTTTGTTATGCATCGCAGCGATATGTTGCGCTTCCCCGGCTCCATGCTGGATGCAAGTGGGGAGGTGCGTGAGAATCGCCCCACAGGCACACGTGTACGCGGCATACCATTAATGCAGGCGTTAAGTGGCGATGCCGCTGTTGAAAATAACACCGGTGCGCCCAAGAAGGTGCGTTACACCATCATCGACGGCAATGATGACGAGGCATTTGCACTGCAGACGCGTAAGTCCACTGAAAAAAGCGCTATGAATGTGAAGTCCATCACGGTAGATAGTGATGGTGAAGCTGGTGTGTGGTTGGTCACCAATCGACCATTGGATCGTGAAACAAAAGCRCACTATGACTTATCGGTACAGGCCTCAGACATAGATGAACTCGATAAGATCATCTCGAAAATTCAGGTGACTGTACTGGACGAAAATGATAACCACCCTATATTTAAATCCACCGAATACAAATTCGCTATTGCCGGTCAGAAGAGCACCGGCTTAGAGGGTAACACAACAACCACTTGGAAACGGTTCAGCATACTGGGTAAGGTTGAAGCCACTGACGCGGATGGCGATAAGATCGCCTATAGACTAAGTGCGCCAAATAATATTGTCATCATTGTGCCACAAACTGGTGAAATTATGTTGGCTGATCAACCCCATGCCTCCGAATTGTTGATCGAGGTCGAAGCGCACGACTTACGCTATCCCAGTTTGGTGAGCAAACAACCGGCTAAAGTGTTGCTAGAGTTCTTAGCGCCAGAACCGGTTTCTTTTATAATGCAACACTTGGAGCACGATGCCATCAATGAGCATTCACATCATCGCGAGAAACGTCGGGTAACGCGCGCGGTACGCCCGACTAAACGCATCGAGTTTACTGAAGCCGATGGCGATACCGAAGGTAAATCCGTCTTCCAGTTGGAGAAAGAGACCGATAAGGAAACTTTTAAAATACGCGACGACAATCCGTGGGTGACAGTCGAAACAAATGGCGCGGTGCGTGTGAAAAAGAAGTGGGACTACGAAGAGCTGGGTCCGGAGAAAACAATTGATTTTTGGGTGATCATCACGAACACTGGACAACATGGTGAGTGTTACTATTGTTCGTCTRTCGAATGTCGATATTCTTACATATAATATATTTATATTTATGTGTGTATTAACCAGGATCTATCAAGTAGTGGTTTAAAAACCGATACGAGTACTGATGCCCTCATTAATTGAAAAATTTTGGTTTTATAATATACATGAGTTTGTATATGTTATGAATTGTAGAACATATGTACATATGTGCCAGTAAGATATGTCCACTCAAGGCTTTTTATCACCGCTACCATTTCTTCGGCTGAGGTAAACAAACCCGTTGTTCGTCTGTAGAAACGCAATGGTAGTGAAATGAAAACAAATGTCATTGCAGAGATGGAAAAACTTAAAAAAAAAAAAATACCGCCAGCTTTGACAGCAGGGCGCACAAAATAGTAAAGCTAACAAAATGGCAATAAGTGATAGAAGGACAAAGAGAGCTAATTTCACGTTTGCGCACGCGCTAAAAATTTGCGGCGAAAACAAAAGAATCGGACATGTGGTGAAAAACATTCGCAGAAATTTCAAAAGGGAGAAATAGAACTGAGAGTCACCTGCGCGCTCTAACGAAGCGTTGGTGAATAATAACATGGACAAATTTTCACATAGAGAGATTGCGTGAGAGAGAGTGGAAGTAAGCTCACAAATAGTTTTCGCTCAATTATCTGAAGTACTCAACACTCTATTAATATTCGAGTGTCTACTAAAGTTTAGTGAAGTAGAATTTACTGGCATATTCCAGMCTTTGCGGGCACATTCATCACCAACGAACCCTCCAAAGAACTACGAAGAGCTTGTTTCGTGAGAATCACTTTTCTCTCACACACTAACTCATTTGCWCGCATTTAAAATTACACTCACAGCCACCCGCAATTTACGTAGATATATAAACAGCTTTACACATACATAAATCCGCTGATTTAAGTGCTATCTGGTTGTTTATAGTATCCGGGCTTAGATTTTTTATTTGCAGTGATTTATTTTGCGTATCTGTGTCTGTTTTGATTTGATGTCGTTAAACAGAACTCGGCTGGTTGCAATAGATCCTCCTCGTACAAACCTTTAAATAAAATGTTTGCTGGTAATAAACCGTCATTGGATAAATAAATTTGAGTTCTAAAATAGAAAAATAGTAGAGTATTATTCTCCGATATTTTTGTATACTATATCCTAAGTTTTTCCGTCCGGACGAAAATGTGTAAATTACGGTCATTAAATACACGTGAATAGGCTACATACGCTAGGCATCAAACGAAGTATCAATGTAATATATAATATATATGCTGGCAACCTCAGATTTATTCATTTACTTTCTACATTTTCGCTTAAGGGGTTAGGAGTAGTCAGAGGCACGAAAAAATGAGAAATTTCAGTATGTTTTTTGCTATTAAATCTTATTATTTTACAAAAGTAGTAATATGGCATTAAAAGAGAATGTGCTGACTTGAAGTCACGAAAATTTCAAAAGAAAAATTTGATTTCCAAAGTTATAGTTGTTTGTGTTGGCCCAGTTCCAAAAAAAGGTACTTGCGGTGACAACCATAAGTCCTTGGAGATTCATCTAAAATCCATCGGACAAAAACAATTTGTTTTATAAATAGATAATCCTGGGCCTGATCGAAGGATTTTTTTTTTCTAAAAATTAACAAAATGGCGGCGTCATGAAATCTTTGCCTAAATTTTTGGAAAAAAATCAACAGTGAATTTATCTTAAAAAATCGAAATTTTTGACCAAAGAGGCCCTAGTTTATTATATATTCTAAAAGCTGTATGAATTTCATTAAAATCTATTGAGCGGTTTTCGAGTTACAGCTGTCACCAGTTCAAAAAACATAGTTTTGAGAAAAAACGCGTTTAAAGTTTCACACTAGCGCTTTGAAGTGACCGAGCTCTCTTTGTTATTTGTCGAATAACTCAAAAACTAAATATCGGATCAACGCGAAATTTTCAGAAAATGTTTTTAAGGTTAACGAAAATGGAAATTTTTTTTTTGTTTTTTTGAAAATTCTGACTACCCCGAACCCCTTAAGGATTAGACGCAAAAAATATTTACTCCATCGAGAGTGATTAGTCTTCGCTGGTGAGCCTAAGAGAGCACGTCAAATGAAAGTATAATTTCAGTTTTGGTGCATATCTTTCAAGGTAAAACTGAATTTTACAACAGATTTAATACATTCATATTTATTAAGGGAATTTCTGTTATGGTGAACAATTTTTTGTTCTGTTCTTAGTAGAAAATACAAAAAAATTGAAGAGAATCTGATCTTAATTGTAGAAGATGAGAATATCCCTCTTCTCGTATCAAAAAATATATGAAAAATATTCCCTTTCGATCGCAGGGGCAAGAAAGATTTTCAAATACTCCAAGAGAAGGAAGACATACTTAATACGATGGAGATCCAAAGTCCAAAAAAAAAAAATACTCGCTGAGCGACTTTTACGAAGAAAAGCTTCTGAAAAAACCTGAAATTTTAGCGCGGGAGTTAATCTAAAGTTTTAGTTTGGATGTTTTCATTATTACAATATAAAGGAAACTTCGAACAACTGGTTTTAAAAACTATGTCGAAAAAAAGAGCTATGTCTACATTTTGAGATAAAGTAATTTGGTCCGATGAATTCAAATTCTAGCTAAGTAGTTAAAAAAGGTGTAAGCGTGCATGCAATCTCATCGCTTAAAATCGCAGTGCATGCACTCATCAGTGAAGCATGGAGGATGTTCTTTCATGGTTTGGGGCTGTTTCTAAAAATTTGGTGTAGGAAGTGTATTTAAAATCGATGGACGACTGACGGTTGCTTCTTGATGTTGACATCCTTAGCGAAGATTTGAAAATAAATGCGGAAGAAGAGAACGTTCGCTTATCTTCCAATAAGATAACGAGCAACAACGCACACCTCGCCTGACTACTCGCTTTTTTGAAGACGGCTTGAAGAAAAACTGACCTGGCCAGCTCAGTCACCGGATTTAAATCCAATTCAGCATTTGTGGATGTGGATGTGGTTTGATTCCAAAATAATAATAWAAGCAGCCGTACAAATTTGGAATAATTTTTCTTAGAGACGAAGCGTCAACTTGACATTATTCCAATGAAAATATTAAAAAATTTGGTTCGAGGCATACCAAAACGTCTTCGTGCAGTAATTCAGAATAAAGAGGCGATATTTATCACTAACTTTACTTTTAAATCAAATGTTTAGTATTTTTTTGTAATTTATACGTTTATTTGACCACTTTTGTTTAAGAGTCCTTTTTTTAAAGTGGAACAATTTTTTTCTTTCTATTCCGGGGAAAAAATAGATAATTTATAATTTGCTATTTAAATACCTATGTAAATGTAATATTAATGTATGAATTATTAATTGTTTATTTTAATAGAACTGCATTGAAATAACATCTGTGAAATTTATACTTTCATTTGGTGATTAGTGTATAGTTCACTATGAGAAATACAAAAACATAAAGTAACAGGTTAATTGAAAAGTCCCCGGCCACCATAGTAAAACACATGTCTTTGGCAAACATTTTTTTTGTTTTTATTCAACAGAGTTCAGAGTAAAATAATAGTTGTTTCATGCGGATCTTAAAATACGCCGTAACCTCACCAGCCGACTGATGAGTTTTTCCACGTTTTGTAGTGGGTTCATCGTATGCAGTCCACGCGGATGACTGTTAATTGGACTTCGGAGAGAAATGAGCTATGTTTTATCCATTATCATATATCGACGTAAAAACTGGGGGTTAATTCGCTTGAACATCTCCGAATCATCAACTCATCCAAAAACAAGGTCAGCGCATTCTGGTACTGAAATATTCGTAATGAGTTGATGTGTCCGTTCAGTTGATATTCTTATAGTGCTTGCTATGTATCTACAGAAACTTCACTTTACGGTCGTTTTAAATTATTTTGTGGACTTTTTTGATGTATTTTGTCGTCCACTGGGTTTACCGYCTTCGGTGCTCATTTCATTTTTAATTGGTTTCCTTAGTACAGTGTTTATAAATTCGTCATCACGCCAAGTTTTTGCTTTAACTATATTTTTTTCTATATTATCGATAATTTTCGTATTTTCAAAGCATTGAGATATAATTAAGTATTATGAAGATATTTTGTGTGATATTATAGACAATTCTTCTTGCATTTGGTCTTGTGTTTTTTCTAAGTGCCCGTTGTGGATCATGGGTAAAAATTCTGGTAAATTTCTTACATTAGAACGCACTAGTCATAGAAAAATGCTCAAAAACTTTTAGGAACCCTGCACTTATCTACAACCTCCAATGGGTTCAGTAGATCGACCAAACATGTGATTTATATTTTCGCTTTTAATTAAATATTTAAAGCATTCGATTATAGTCGWGTTATTCATGCCACAGATTGTTTATATGGGCTGGTATTCCATATTTTCTAATTAAATGCTTAAGTTAGAATACCAACTTCAATTCCGTCTAGCTTGCTACTACCGACAACTATCAGCAAGTACGCACTATCCATAGGCAACTCTTAAAGCTCATTGCTTCTTCACGTCACCTTACATTTGGCTTATATGTTGACTTCTCATGTTTTTGCACCGTAAAAACATTAACAGCAATATTTTCGTGCTAAAATGTCGACTTTTGAACTCAGCAATTGGCGCAGAAACGATCTCTCCCAATGCATAGTGTTTTATCTACCTGCGAATACTTACACARCTAATATTATAGAGATCTAGTTCCACAAACCTTCTATATAGCAACATCTAAGACTTGTGTGTGGGTGTTTGCCTAGCACTCAACTTACGAGTACTTGGCCTAAATTTACAGCCGTCTTGGGTCTCATATTCAACCATTTGCACATGACCCAGTGTACAATAGCTTCGGTAGTCAACTCTGCCAGCAGCCACCCGCACAATTCTCACCTGCTTCACTTCAGTTTCGTGCGCGCGCTGTGAATTTGCTTTTGTGTGCGTATGTGTGAGTGCACATTTCTTTCCTCCTTTTACTTGAAGAATTTTTACTATTTGTGCTAACAT